GACTCAGGAGTCAGTATCTCCACAGGACAGGAGCAGACCAACTCTGTGTCTGCCCCAGCCCACAGGACCAGGCAGAGGAGGAAGGCAAAACTTCAGTAATTATTAATACTATTTGGCTGACACAACTTTCTACTCTCAACAAACATTAGGAAAAATATAACAGTCAAAATATAGTAAAGACATTTTGAAAGTTACATCATATATTCAATCCCCAAATATTGCCTAAAGTTTCATATGGTGAAAATATTAGGACAATAAAATTCAAGCTGGACACCTAACTTGACTAAAGGTAGATATGTAGTATTTGAATGTAAAACACTTATTCTACTCTATCATTCTGAATATTAAATCAATTTGGACAGATAATTAATAACTATATGTCTTAGCAATTGTAACTCACATCAAACCTGCCTCAGTTATATACATGGTAGGTGATTATAAATTTGTGTTTGAATTCTCCAGTATATATCCCTTTCATAATTATTTATGATGTATAGTGTCATGTAATTGAAACATTATTTGTAACTGTAACCTCCAAATAGTTTCAGCACTGTAATGTAGAGATGTGCCATATTATAAAAGATATTACAGAATGTAGAAACTTTACATATAATAGATAATGTGAAGAATTATGTTATATTCCACAAAAGAAAAAAAAAATGTTCAGTGTTTCTTTTTTTTTAATCTTTTTTCTTTTTATTTAGTTACACTCCAGATTTTATTCCCCTCCTGGTCCACTATACCCACCGTTCCACATCCCACACCTCCTCCCTAACCCAAGTCTTCATGAGGATGTCTCCACCACCCACCCCTTACCCAACCAGACTTCTAAATTCCCTGGGCCTCCAGTCTCTTGAGGGTTAGGAGTATCTTCTCTGACTGAACTGAGACCCAGTAGTCCTCTGTTGTATATGTGTTTGAGGCCTCATATTAGCTGGTAGATGCTGCCTGGTTGGAGGTCCAGTGTTTGAGAGATCTCTGGGTCCAAGTTAACTGAGACTACTGGTCCTCTTACAGGGTCACCCTCCTGCTCATCTTCTTATAGTTTTTCTCTGATTCAACCACAGGCATCAGCAGCTTCTGTCCATTGGTTGGGTGCAAATATCTGCATCTGAATTTTCCAGGTTCTTGTTGGGTCTTTTGGAGGTCAGTCATGATAGGTCCCTTTTTTGGAGGGCTCCATAGCCTTAGTAATAGTGTCAGGCCTTGAGGCCTCCCCTTTAGCTGGATCCCACTTTGGGTCTATTGCTGGACCTTCTTTTCCTCAGGATCCTCCCCATTTCCATCCCTGAAGTTCTTTCTTACAGGAACAATTATGCGTCAGAATTTTGACTGTGGGATGGCATCTCCATTCCTCACTTGATGCCTTAGTTGAGTCTTGAGTTTTATTAATTCCAAAGATTTAAAATATGTATAAATTTATTCCAAAATCCTATACAATATATTTTATCACATTCTTGCCTGGAAAAAGATACCAGAAGTATTTCATCTTTTTGCTTCCTTAACATTTTGTTTTCTCCTTAAAAATTTTTACTCCAATTTGGGCTACCCAAATATGCTTAAATATGAGGTCTGTAACATAGAAATCTCTACCTTCACATAATCACAATATTAAAGAATGTTAATCCTTCCTTTCTGACCAAAAAAATAAATTATAAAATCTTCCCAAGTGATAGTGTAACTTCATGACAATCTTACTTTCATGATGATAATCCATAAGACCTGAGCTTGCACCAATTATATGAGTGATGTCACATTCATGAATTTATATATAGAATTTTCATGGTGTGTCTGGATATCACTGTTTATATACAGTCTTCTGAGGCTTCTGACTCTTGTGACATTTCTACACTCTCTTCATTAAATACCACTTTTTTATGATATATGTGTATGTAGGTAAGTATATATGTATGTATTCATACATATTACCAAGTATGTTTGTGATCGTATCATGTGTCTGTACAATAATAGCAGTTTACTTGCAAAGACTAAATATTACAAGGGTTCTATTTAATAACTGTACAGCAATATACAGCAAAGAAATGACAATTTGATTTCCTACTATAAATATAGTAATACTATCTGTTATAAGGTGAGGTATTAATTCATCATTAATGAGGTAAAATGAAAGTCTGGTGATTGATGAACAATTTTCAAAATATAAAATTATTTGGGAATAGGGATGTTATAATACAAAAATATGGATGGATATATATTTTTTAACCATAAAATTTATAAAATTATTAGATGACAGTATTTCAAAATTGCTATCTAAAGTCCTTCAACAATTCTAATAATTTTCTGTGCGTATGAAAACAGATGCCATCCACAAATGTTATGAACACATTTTATTGTGTACTTACTGAAAATGTACTAATGTAGTAATCCACTAAACTCTAGCATAGAATGAACACAATTTAAAAACACAAGGAATTTTCAAACTTACATATGGAAGAAGCATTTTTCAAACACATGTGGAAAAATAATTTCTCTGATATAGATTTTATCTGCCTAAATCATAAATGACATATAATTTTGAAATTATGTTTGTCCCAAGGAAAGATTTATCCAAAGTAACTTTGTATTCTAGTTACTTCCAAATTTTATACATTAGTTTCATAAAGTGCAGAGAAATTTTGCAAGTAAATAGATTAAATACATTAGGCTAGTTCAATTAAAATCTTTTGAAGAAGATGGATTTTTAGAGATGTTACTAGAACTTGATGGCTATATAAAAGGAAACATTCCATTTCTTTAGAATTGTAAACCTTGAAATTCAACCTATTTCCCCACTGAATCTGTCCCCAACTACACATACACTATAAGTACTGAACAGACTCACTGGTTATTAAAATATAAAATGAAGTGCTAGAGATATGGAGCATATTAAGTTGGGAATGAAATTTAGGGAAGGAAAGAAGTCAGACGGTTGGAAAGAAAGAAGGATTGGTTTAAAACCTATTATATTTGAACACAAGTACTGAAAGAAATACATATGAAGAAGGTGTGCTCTATAAATAGGGAAATATTCACAACAGATTACTTATTACTCTGTCCCCGAGAAAAATAAAGTAAGTGACATCAACGACATTCCATGAAGTTAGAAATATCTCAGAAAAAGAAATGATTACCTCAGCCTGAAATAATGTTCTCACAATGACCTACATTTCTGACCAGATATGGATCAGTGTGTTAAGTGTCCAGAGACTCATTATGCAAATACTGATAAGAACCACTGCTTCCCGAAAACTGTCAGCTTTCTGGACTATGAAGACCCCTTAGGGCTGGCTCTCACAAGTATCGCTCTATGCTTATCTGCGCTAACAGCTTTTGTGATTGGTGTCTTTGTGAAACACAGAGACACTCCCATTGTCAAGGCCAATAATCGAGCTCTCAGTTACATTTTGCTTGTCACACTCACATTCTGTTTCCTCTGCTCTTTGAACTTCATTGGTCAGCCAAACACAGCCACATGCATACTGCAACAGACTACATTTGGAGTTGCATTCACTATGGCTCTTGCCACTGTCTTGGCCAAAGTGGTTACTGTGATCACTGCATTCAAGGCCACTTTTCCAGGGAGAATGATAAGGTGGCTAATGATATCAAGGGCACCAAACTACATTATTCCTATCTGCACACTGATCCAAATTGCTCTTTGTGGAATCTGGATGGCAACCTCTCCTCCATTCATTGACCAAGATGCTCATACTGAACATGGACACATCATCATTTTTTGCAACAAGGGCTCAGCTTTTGCCTTCCATTGTGTCCTGGGATACCTCTGTGTCCTGGCACTAGGGAGTTATGCCATGGCATTCTTGTCTAGAAATCTGCCTGATACATTCAATGAATCCAAATTCTTGTCATTCAGTATGCTGGTGTTCTTCTGTGTCTGGGTCACCTTTCTTCCAGTCTACCACAGCACTAAGGGTAAAATAATGGTGGCTATGGAAGTATTCTCTATCTTGGCTTCCAGTGCAGCACTTCTTGGTTTCATATTTGCTACTAAATGTTACATTATCTTGTTGAGACCAGAAAAGAACTCATTTAAATATATCAGAGATAAAACACATTCTAGAAGAAATAAATCTGCTAAAACATAGTTTCAAAAATACATTTAGCTTCTATGCTATTTCATAAAATGTTTTATTTCATTTCTTATATTATTCTAAACATTTATTAGACAATTATGATAGGGATTCAATTGTGTCCTGTGTTATTTCTTTATCCAATTGTTTTATGATATTATATTATCAGAGCCATTTATTTCATTTTTTTCTGTCTGAATACCACATATGCTAGCCAATGACTCGACTGTGCTGACTCTAAGAATTGGTGGCATGATACCTGGATCTATTTAAATTTTGTTATCTTTCTTTAATATAAACTCTTCGTTTTTCCTTTCATTTTATTAATTTGCTTATAAATTTGAGGTATATTCTTTCCTTTGTCTGAATTAGTAACATATTAATTGGGAAAATTGCTTAATACCCATTAATAAAACATAATTAAATTTGCAATTTAAGTAGTTTAAAATTTTATTAAATATTCAATGTGTAATACCAAAGACGTGAAAATGATTAACTTGGTATTTCTAAACATCTCAAGAGATTTAGTTAATTTATAATTCTTTGTATGGTTTTATGTACTGGTAAGAAAAATACCATATTTGACTTAAATGTAATAATTTTAAATGTAATTGAAATTTAGTACTTTTCATACAGTATGCATAGTAATTTAGTATTTAGAATTATATGGAAATGTATTTTATTACACAAACTGAAATGAGTCAACCAGAGCAATGATGTTAGTCAGAAATACGCACAACCCAAATTGATAGTATAGCAAATGGAGTCACATGTCCAGGTCTTTGCAAAGTAGCTGACTATCCCAAATTCCATTTTAATTTAGTTCATACATCATTTATATAGTCATCTGCTCAGTGGTGCCTCAAATGCTCTGAATTTAAGTATTGGTGGCATCACTCATGTGTCATACTGAGTATATTTATACTTCTTGATATAAATACTTCTGTCAATGATAAAAGCTCATGAGACATTAAGTATACCCAGAGAACTACAGACAACTAAGAGATGCCCATAAAGCCAAAAATGGTCATTAATATATCTAATGTCCCTGTGGAAAACACATTCTGCTAAACAAAATAAATAGAAATAAATAATTTTATTTATTACTATTCTTATTACCACCTGTGTACCATTCATTTCAGTTTATCTTGATAATTTCATTTGGCATATTTAGTTAACTATGGTTTCTTTCATTTTGGCTTGATTGTTTAGATAGCAATGTTGAGCTACTAAGATATAAAAAGTATGATTTAGGAAGTTGACTCTAGTGGTCCTTGCATACATTCCAGCAGATAATACACAGGGTAAATATTTGGGTAGACTAACTCAAGGCCCTGAATCTGGTTAGGACTGATTGGTAGTTGAGCCAAAGCCTCACCATCATGGTGACCTCAGCAGCACTTTCCTGGCTGAATCACCCAATACTGAAGCCAGCAACTGACCAAAACTGCACTCCTACTTTCATACCTAAAGGACTGTCTCACCCAGAATACCTGAAAAGAAAACCAATTTTACTTTGCTGCCTAGGCAATAGGCATGGTCTTCTCTCTCAACTTGTGTATCCAGTGATGAGCAGGGAGAGCTCTCTTGCCCTCATGACCTCAGGCCTGTGCCCTGGCCTTCCATAGGAGATGAGAAATAAGGTACATTTGGACATCTTTCCATTATCCACATTACTGCAAGCAGACAAGTTTCTAGGCCATCTCTCCTATGTGCACATCCACAGAGCCAACTTACCCTTGCCCTAACCAAAACATTGTTTCTATTGTGCTGGTTAGGTGAGGTGCAGGGCCTAAATCCTGAGCTCTAAAGACTGAGATGCAGGACTCTTTATACTGCTCTCATGAGTGAATCACTTGTTTGCCAGTTTTCTGAACTTAGTGAATGTATTTTCTTATCTTTATTTATTTATTTGTTTGTTTATTTTTGTTTCAGTTAAAACTGTGTTTTTATGTTAGTTACTTAATTACTGATTTGAAGAAATATAGCATAATCTATGATTTTTTAAAATTAGGGTTATTTCCTCTTTCCATTCAATATTTTTCATTGAGTAAGTTATTTAATCTTTACATCCTGACTGCAGAATCCTCCTCATCTCTTCTCACAGTTCCTCCCTCTCACTTCCTCTCCTCTACTGACTCCTTCTTCCCTTCTCCCCAGGAAAGAAGAGGCCAACCATGAATATCAACAAGCTTTGGAATATCCTGTTTCAGTTTGCTTAGTAACATCTTTATCTATTGAGGCTAAAGAAAGCAGCCAAATTAGGGGAATGTAATCCAATCGCAGGCAATGTATATGAATCTTCCTTTTTAATAGTGTTAATTCCCATCACAATTACAAAGGAATTGGTAAAAAAAAAAAAACACTGTTTATATCTCAGAGATTCCTCACTTCCTCTTCTTATCCTGTCTTTGTAATTTTACAATGTATGTTAACTGTTTTGCATTCTCTGCAGTCCTCAACCATAATGGTGAGCAGTAAACATTACTTGTTTAAGGTGTCTGTTCTGTAAATTGCTCTTTCAATTTTTTTTGGTTCAATGTTATTTATTTTATCAAAATAGGACAGAATAGAATGGAACATATGGGAAGACATATAATGAAAGCCATGGAAGTATTCTGTCAATTGAGGTCCTGATTTTAAAAGTTTTGGAAGTTGTGTTACATTCTTAGAACCATATAAGCATCAAGGGAGAGTTATCTCTACACACTTGTTCTCTGGTGGCTTGTACATCCACATACAAAAACATTATAGATAATTTCACAGAAAGAAATTTCATTGTGATTCAGTCATAGACTTTGTGCCAAGACTTTGAACCTTTTGACTCAGCAACTGCACAAATACCCACCAGTACCAATCAGAGAATTAGAACGTTTTCTAAGTTTTCTTTCTTTCCTTAAAGATATGGTCACTGCTTCTTAGGCATTCACAAGATCTCTGACATGCATATAAGCCTCATACAAGAAGACAACATAATGTTTTTCTTCAGGGATTTCACTCTCAAAGATATTCAAAGAATTACATAAAGCCTGTATTTGCCATTGCCCATTTTCTTTCAGTACTTTTCTGCTTTGGATCCTATAGAGAATTTTAAGGATTCTGAATGGAATCCTACTTCCTGCCAGTGATTTGTACTCTCTTCTCCTAAATTTTGTTTGTGATTCTAAAATACTTTACTTGTTTCCTAGTAGAGTCGTCTAAAGGATCTTATATGGCCCAAAGTCCCAAATAGAGAGTTTTACCCACTCCTAACTGTCCAAGAATTACTGTGTTAGTGTCCATGATTTTTCTTCTTCTCACCATACTCTGATGTATTTATCGGATATCCAGCTTATCAGACTTCTGACAATCTGCAACTCTTTTTCAAATCCTCAAATTTCCAAACCCTTTAATGTTGTACCTTATGTGCTGTGAACTGCAAAATATCTCAAGATTTAAACACAGACCATCAGTGTCAATTCTGAAAACTCATATCAACAGCCACAGTTCCAATTTTGATGAAATCAAGAACTGGTTAAAAGTTTTTTATTTCATCTTAGTAGGTATGACTACATCAACTAAATAAATAAGAACACATTGAGACTAGGCTGTTGGAATAAAAGAATATGTATCACTCCTAATGACCTTAATAATTAGAGAGGCGTTGTGGATTACATGATAAAAGTACACAAAAATGTTAAAGCAGTATCAATAACTTCCTATCCATGTACTACTTATCCAATTATAGGAATACTTACTTATTCATGTTCATTGCTATGATATTTTTATCAATAGAGCTAGCAATTATGCCCAGAGCATATATCCAAAAATGTAAATTAACAAATAAACAATTAATGAAGAGGCAGCAAAACTATTATATATTTACACGCTCATTTTTTTTCAAGTGATAAAAAGGTATTTAGGAATCTCATCCTCAGGATTCCATATGCCAGCTTAAATCTTAGCTCGCTTTCCTGGAGGTCATTCCAGCCACACAGACACCATGTAATATCCTTCTCTCTGATGAACAACTTCCCTTAAATTACACACAATAGGCCTAAAATATACTGTATCACCTGCAATCCATATTTTGCTCCATGACTTTGGCAGAAGACCTCTGCATTCTAAAAGGCCACACTGGATATAAGAATACCAGAGGCAAAGTTGGCACTCAAATCCCCAGAGATTATTTGGGTTTAAAAAACCCCAGTGGAAACATACTACTGGACTTTAAGACTTGTTAATTATAGGACAGTCAGGCCAGAAAACAAGAAAAGAAACAGAAAACAAGGGAAAACATAAAGAAATAATGAATGAAAGAAAAGTAAACCACCATTAATCATCACCTAAAACTATAGTAACACTAAACTCAGATGGTTAGAGACCTGTTACAAGGAAAAATTAACACTATTTTAGGCATTATTTCACCAAGTACCTATCTATTCTATTACAGCAAGCAATGGATATAACAAAACAGCTAGTGAATAATAAAATGAACTTGAATTCAACTGTGTGCAGATAATAGAGGCTACTAAAGATGAAATGAATTGCCAAGGACCAGTCTTGACATGAGATAATGTCCCTAAGAAGAGGTGAATTGGTTCAATTTAAAAATGATTTGAACCCAATAATAAAGATGATAGCTCTGTCTACTGTTCAAAGTAGTTCTCTAGATAGCCTATCTCTTACAGATCAAAGCCCAATAACTTATTTGCATAAGCTACTTCCTTAGGAATTACATGAAAGTTCACTAATTTTTCCTAGGTTCCCTTTTGATTTTCCCAGTAATCAATGTTGTGAACTTGGCACCTTGACTCTAAGAAAAAAAAATAGCAAGTACAGTTTTTTAACATTGCAATGGCTATGTGGTTTGCTGGGTCAGCACTTAGGGATGCCAAGTTTAGATGTAAAGTTAGTTGAATGTGAGAATGTCCAACTACTTCACTGGTTGAGCTTGGATGTCCTGGAACTTACACTGTAGACATACCTTGAACTCAGAGATCTATGTGGCTCTATCTCCTGAATACTGTAATTAA